GGCACAGGCTCGAGAACCGACCAAAAAACAGGGGGGCTGAGGTGGCATCACCTCAGCTCCCGATTTCAACTTCATTTTTTTTTCAGATTCAAGGGTCAAGGTGTTGCCGCCTCGGCACCCTGGATTTTAATTTTTTTTTGAGTTGGGACAAATTGCATTTTCTGCATTTTAATGCTCAATATTAATTGTTTATTGCAATGATAGGGGGATGGAGATGGAAAGAGTAAAAAAATACTTTTTTCACCAACTTTTAAATGAATGTTAATACCCCCTTATTTAGTAAAACATAACCACGAGTGTCAAATCAATCAAGTAAAATTATAATACCCACACCTTGATTGGCGATGAAGGTAAAAAAGGCTCACAGTTAGTAATTGCTGATCTAAGGTTGACTTTATCCATAATATTTTGATCATAACAAATGAGTCAAGCTCCTATTTGTTTTTCATTTTTTTCTTATTAAAATGAAAAATATGACCATTGTCCATCACATCAAGTCACCAAATTTAAATTTTCATTTCTTCTGTGGGGTTTATAACAATTATATTTTTCATTTTCATTCTTACAAAAATGGGAAATAAATGCAATTGATTTTGAGAGATGATAGTCTTCAAAACATTCAACGTTAAAATTGATCAATCATTACCAGAAGATCAAGAACATCACATTACAAATCAAACTCACTATAAAGGAAGAGATTGAAGTCAAGCATTCAAGAGAAAAGATTAAGAGCCGAACTTCAAAAGAAAGATTAAGAATAAAGCCTAAAAGCCAAATTTCAAAGAAACATCAAGACAAGGCTTTTTTAGATCAAATATAAATATACTAGCAACTTTGATATTTAACAATGAATGATAAAAACTCAAAAATCATTTTGTGCACACAAAACTATATTTATTATCATTTACATAAAACGTTTTGATCAAAATAAAAAAAAATGATTTTCGAAATAATGTTTGAACTTGGATCACATTTTTAAAATATCGTTTATTTTAAAAACTAGTTAAAAATACTTTCTAAACGTCTACATTTGTCAAAACATTCAAATCGAATCAAATGAGGTCAAAATTGAAAAAAAATCATTCGAACTGGCTAGACAATCGGTGGAAGTCGATAGACTAGATTGGTGGTCTATCGAAAACGTCCAATGGTCCAAAAATTGACAGTTTTAATTTGTACAACAGTTATATTTTGGTCATTCGGACTTGAGGCAGTTGATTGGCTATTCATCCGAACTTTTAGAATATTTTTGCTCATTGAACTCTATAAATACGTTCAATTTTTGCATTCATCAAATTAGTGTACAGATGCATTAAAGAGAAATTCTTAAGTAAAATTATCTGAATTGCTTTCATTTCTTCTTTTTTCTTTATATCAAAAGCTTTGAGTTGATTGACTTTGATTGATTGAATCAAACTTTTTAATCATCATCTTCATCAACGTTTTTCATCTTTTTTTCAATACTTAAATTATTGCTATCATTCATAAAAGAGAAATATATTTTGAGCAAATCTTTGAACTTACAATACATGTATTTCTTCTACTTCTCTATATCAAAAAATTTGATTGATTAAATCAAAATTATAAAATGTAGCGCCCCAAAAATTTTATAGAATAAAATTTATTTATTTTGTATGCCATATAATTATATTTTGAATTTGAGGGACCAAAGTGAAATATATTTTAAATTCTTATATTTTTGAGTCAAATAATTAGATTTTTGATGGAGCGAGTTTTATTATATTAATATTGTACTCTTTTTATAGCTCGTAATTATTTAGAAGACTTTATCACAAGAAAAAGTTATTTTGAATTATATTACATCAAGTTAAGTCTGATTAAAAGAATAATAGATTAATAGAGTTGGTGGGGGCTTACAATATTAATTATAAGTAAAATTCTTTCCTCTTTTAATTCCTACCACACATGATTTATATGAAACCAATAGAATAGTACAATTCGAATCACTTTTGAAACCAAGTATAAGTTCGCCAAATGTTCTATTTTTAATGGGATGATTGTACCAAGAAACCAGTAGTAAAGTATACTACTAACTCTACCATTTGAAACCAATTCTTATCCAAATTCCTTGTATTACACAGTTTTTCAAATCTAGTTGCATAAAAACTCAATTGAGAATTTCAACTATAAATACTACAATAATTCTCATTATTTCACAACAAAAACAATAAAGAGAGCCATGGTAGAGAGAGAGAGGAAAAAAGTATTGAAAAATAATAAGAGAATTTTTACGCACAAAATTTTATTTTCTTTTTACAACATTTCAATAAAAGAGGTAAAATACTTATGTGCAAGTTGTTTGTTTCCATATGCTTTTATATTCAATTAAATATGTATAAATTGGCAATGGACTTTTGGGTTCTTTAAAAAGAAATATGAAATTCTTCAAGAATTTAATAGTGCATAAGATGGGTGTATCGCTTGTTCACCGATATACTCCATATAAGAAGAATAGTGTGAAGTGTAGATTTTATTGTTATATAATTGTCTGTAGAAACTGTATATATATCTTATTGGGTATTTTTAAATACTTACTCTTACAAAAAAAAAATTCAGTTATTTTATTTTTAAAGAAATTTATATTTTTCTTTCAGCCTTTAAAGCAAAGAAAAGTAAATTTTCGATAACTCTTCAAAAATTATAAAAGTTTGAGGTGTTACATAAAATCATCACGTTTATGAAAGTTTCTCATCTCTCTCTTAATACTCAATTTATTACAATCAACCATTAAAAGAGATATTTTTTAAGAAGATTTTTAAGCTTATATCGCATCTATTTCTTTATCTTCTTAGTATTGAAAATTTTGATTGACTGAATAAAACTTTTAAAATCATCATATTCATGAAAGTTGTTTTTTTTTTTTTATCTAACACTTGATCTATCATTTATTTCTATTCATTGAAGCATTATTATCTCTTCGTACTTAATTCATTTATATCTTTTATTGAAAGAGAATTTCCATTGTAAAAGAACTATAGTTTTTGAATAATTCGTGAATATAACATTTAATAAAACTAATCTTCTTGATCAAGAGAAAAGTATTGATAATAATATAGGTTTGGAGATTCCTTTTGAGCAAATGAACATCTAAAATCAAAACAAAAAAATCCTAAAAATCTTGAAGATCAACATTGAGGAAGAAGCAAATGTGCAACAAGATGAAGTAAAATCTCTAAAAGTACAAAGTGATCCATCTGTATCATAGACATGAATATCAGTTCTTTGATATCCTAAAGGCACCAAAAAGGAGGATTTTGTACTAGAGTTTGTGAATACAAAAAATCAATTGGCCGACATTCTCACTAAACCTCTAATACTTGATAGATTTTCACATATTCGAAGAAGTTTGGGAATTATCAATGAATTTGAAGAATGTCTCTAAATTGTATTCTTATACAATTGATTTTATGTGCATCATTGGTTGAGATTTATATAAACTTTACATAATTGATTATGCTTTTGACAATTTATCACTCATTTTTTTATTAGTATTTTGTTATAAATATGTGATTATTGTTTCGACTTGCATATTTGACATTTTTTTGCCTACTTAAGGGAGAATTTTATTATTTCCTATGGTTATATTGTATGTTTTGATCTTATATGCCATATTTTTTCTCTCATATGTGCTAACTTTTTACTTATATCAAAAGGAGAAAACTGAATAAGATTGATTTGAAAAAGAGCAAGAATGATTTGAAAAAGCATCGAAAGGAAGGGAGGGGGGAATGTGACGATAATTGCTTTGAAAATGAAATTGAGAATATGCTTGAATTGAAATAGATAATCTGCTTTGAATCAATGACTATTGGTTTGTAAAAGATAGGAGGAATATATGGATTACATGTAAAATTAAAATTTATATTTCTTATCAATTGTTCAATCTTACTTTGCAAACTATCTTATTTGTTATAATCAAAAAGAAAAAAATTATTGACCCAAAATTTACTTTATCCTTAATGTTTAGATCATAACAAACAAGTTAATATTATTCTTTTAACATTTGATTTTAAGTGATGATAGTCTTCAAAGCGAATCAACATTAAAATTGACCGATCATTGCCAACGGATCAAGACCATCACAATATAAATTGGAATTATGATGAAGGTCGAGATTGAAGTCATGCATTCAAGATAAGATCTTTCAAGATGAGATTAAAATTCCAACTTCAAAGAAAGATCAAGACGAAAACCTAAAAGCCAAACTTCAAAGAAACTTTAAAGACTGGGGTTTTCTTAGATCAAATGTAAAGGTACTAATAACTTTGGTCTTTTACAATGAATGATAAAAGCTCAAAAATTATTTTGTGAACGAAAGGTTACTTTGATTACCACTTGCATAAAATGTTTTGATCAAAAGCAAAATTGATTTTCAAAGGATGTTTGATCTTAGATCATATTTTAAAAACATTATTTACCTTGAAAACTAGTTAAAAACACATTCAAAAGGTCTACATTTGTGAAAATATTCAAATTGGATCAAACATGGTCAAAACAAAAAAATCAACCGAACCAACTGTAATCGACTGAAAATGCCTAACAATCTAAAATTTGATACTTCTAATTTGTACAATTGCTACATTTTGGTCATCTGGACATGAGGCGGTTGACTGACTACTCATCGGAACTTTAATAATATCTTGCTTATTGAATTCTATAAATATTTTCACTTATTACATTCATCAAATTAGTTTTGAAGTGCGTTAAAGAGAGAAGTCCATGAGTAAAATCATTCGAGCTTACACTATATTCATTTCTTCGATTTTTTCATAGCAAAAACTTTGATTGATTGAATCAAGCTTTTTAATCATCATCTTCATCAAAGTTTTTATTTTGTCTTCTTGTAATTGACTTATTGCTATCATTCATAAAAGATATATATATATATATATATATATTGAGCAAATCTTTAAACTCATATTGCATTTATTTCTTTTACTTCTCTATATCAAGAACTTTGATTAATTGAATCAAACTTGTAAAATCATCATATTCATCAAAGTTTCTTATCTCCCTCTTGGTACTTAATTTATTACAACCATTATTAAAAGAGAGATGTAATTAAGAAGATTTTTGAACTTACATTACATCTATTTCTTTCAATTCTTCCTATTAAAAGTTTTGATTTATTGAATCAAACTTTTAAAATCATCAAATTCATTTGAGTGTTTTTCTTTTAAATTTTGATAAATCTAACACTTGAGCTATTACGTGTTGCTATTCATTGATGTGTTAATCTTTTAGTACTTCATTCATTTTTATAATTTATTAATAGATATTTTTTATTGTAACATTATTGGTTTAAACTTGTGGGTCATATTGAGGTATTGTAAAGTTCAATAATATGAGTCATATTGGGGTCTTGTAAAACTCAATATTATCTAAGGATTAGTACTTCTTGTTCGTAAGTAGCCAAAAGTGTTTGAAGAGTTGAAGAATTTAGATCGCACCATAAGTCAATCAATTTATTAAAAGGCATTGCTCATGAAAGAAAGCTTGATAACGGAAGACGTAAATCATTGCATTGGATTGAACCTTTACAAGTATATCCTTTGGATTCTCTCTACTCTTTTACTTATTCTTAATCCATTTACATTTATATTAGATTGATCTATTTGTTTTCATTTGCTTATGATTATTACTAATGGATTAACACATTCTCAACTAATTCGATTTAAGTATTTTTCGAAAAGTTTTAAAAACCAATTCACTCCCTTTTGATTAATTATTCTTGGGCTACTAGTAATAGGCTATCATACTCATCGGATAAGATGGAGAACACTTGACTGAGGCAAACACAAAGACTCTTGGCATGTTATGGTCATTAATAAATGGGCATATGGTGAATGATCACGCAGATGGTCGCTCACTTCTTAAACATTTGGTTAATACTGCTCTACTAATCGTACATAATATCCTTCAATGTCGAACAAGCAGTGATCGATAGAGAACCATGATCTAAGCCTTTATGAAAGATTTGTTATAATAGTCTCACCCTACTAACCGTGATTCCTATTTAATTTACGGAGATACTAAGAATCGTCCCATGTGATTAGAATTGCTCTTTGCTATGTCACCTTCACGAGATATATAGGAAGCTCAATAAAGTGCAAAAAGTGCTTTTACTTTTTTATGTCTTTCCATATTAAGCAAGTTCTTACTCCCTCATATTCTCTTTACATAACACATTAACTCTCTCATTAGGAGGGCGATCAGGTTCCCCAATCACTTCTTTGTGCACGTTAGCTCGTGGGGCTACAAAATCGTCCAGCATAAAAGACATCCGTTGAAACTTTTGAGTATAATTTCTACAATTTTTTGGTTATTTTGTATCAACGTGTTGACCAATCATCGGTCAAATTAAAGGCATGCAGTGTAGTCTTCGATCTACCAGTGCACGAAGCGAACTAGTCACAATTGAACAACTTTCTACTTTCGACGTTAACAAGAAAAATCAGAACCAGATTGATATTTATAAATTAGGAAAATCAAAAGGATAAAGCAGATCCCAGTTGTTCGAAAATTCTATCGAAATGGAAAATTCAACCCAAGAATCCAACCTCCGATCCGAAATCTGCGTTACCTATGATTCTCCCTACCCAATCTACGCCATGGCTGTCTCGAACGCCGCCGCCGCCGTCTCCCCCCACACCCGCCGCATAGCTGTCGGAAGCTTTATTGAAGAGTTCAACAACAGGGTCGACATCCTCTCCTTCGATCACGACGCCTTATCCCTCAAACCTACTCCCTCCCTCTCCTTCGACCACCCTTACCCACCTACGAAGCTCATGTTTCATCCTACCCCTGCAGCCTCCACCGCATCCGCTTCCACCGCCACTTCCGCCGCTAACATCCTCGCTTCCTCCGGGGACTATCTCCGCCTCTGGGAACTCCGTGACTCATCAATCGAGCCTATATCGGTTTTCAATAATAGTAAAACGAGTGAATTCTGCGCCCCGTTGACCTCTTTCGACTGGAATGAGGTCGAGCCGCGGAGAATCGGCACTTCCAGCATTGACACCACTTGCACTATATGGGACATTGAGAAGGGTGTTGTGGAAACCCAATTGATAGCACACGACAAGGAGGTTTATGACATTGCTTGGGGTGAAGCAGGGGTTTTCGCTTCAGTTTCGGCAGATGGTTCTGTGAGGATTTTTGATTTGAGGGATAAGGAGCATTCCACCATTATATATGAAAGCCCGCAGCCCGACACTCCTTTACTGAGATTGGCTTGGAATAAGCAGGATTTGAGGTACATGGCCACGATATTGATGGACAGCAATAAGATTGTAATATTGGACATTCGGTCTCCAACAATGCCCGTGGCAGAATTGGAGAGGCATCAGGCGAGCGTAAATGCAATAGCATGGGCGCCACAGAGCGCCAGGCACATTTGCTCTGCTGGAGATGACGGGCAGGCACTTCTTTGGGAGTTGCCTACAGTTGCAGGGCCTAATGGGATTGATCCCATATCTATGTACGCAGCTGGTGCTGAGATCAATCAGCTTCAGTGGTCCGAGGCGCAGTCTGACTGGATTTCCGTTGCCTTTGCAAACAAGTTGCAGCTGCTTAAAGTTTGAGGTAATTGGGGATTAGTTATATATCATCCGTGGAGTTTGTTGAGATAGTGTGGCTATTTCATATGCTATAATCTGTTTTATTTATATTAGCGTACAAGATCTTGGGATAGTTTTATCCACTTATTGAGTTTATATATATATAATTATGTTTCTGGATGTACCAGTTCTCTTTGCTTGTTCTAGTGTTTTGTTTGTGCACTGCTTATCCATAATATGCAAAGACATCTTCCATACTCATGAGGAAAAAGGGTTTCATAAAATTACAAGATTACCTTGCTATTACCTTCAAAGTTCGATGAAACTATCTCTAACCGTCCTATTCTAGTATGAATTATTTCGTCTATACAAACAAAGACGGACAGAAGATAAAGTGTATTAGGCTTCATACGCATTTTGATATTGTCCAATCCTGCCTTTCTTTTCTTTCAGATGGACCATAGTTTTCTAACTTTTGAAGGGTGATTAGATACCCCGTAATGAGCAGAATTCTTGGATGCATTATAGTTTCCTACTCAAAAATCAACATGTAACGATGGTAGATCTTTGTAAGGTTTGAAGAGGTGGCAGAGATCAATATACTTGATTCTCTTTGCATTTATGTGTTTTTGGAAACTCGAGCTTTGGTGTGGCATAGTGTCTCAATACTTGGGGAGTTCTAAATCTATGAAACATTGATTATATTGCATCTTCATTCTGCAACCTGCCTTTGAAAATCAATAGTGTATGCCTAAGGTAACAGAAGTTTGTACATTAAGTTTTATGCTTCCGAGGCTTTTGATCTTACTATTCTAGACTTCTAGTTGTGAGTTTTTGTTGAACATGTTAATGGCATGTGCTTTGGCTAGAAGAATAGGCCAGATGAGGATGCTTAAAGTGGGGATATGTGAGAGCAAGTGGAGTAAAACAACAAAATAGGAGAGTCACTTTCTAGTTGATTTAGCATTATGCCTTATTCATTATCAATGTACTTTGTTCACATCCTTCTACTTACAGGCGTAAATTAGAATTAGATATAGGTCTTGTTGTTATGTTAACTAAACTATTAGACTGAATCATTTTAACTTCATTGTAGTGTGTGACGTCTATTTATAGTTATTTATGCTTACTCAGTACAACTGTGTGCTTAGTTTTAGTGGGAACTGCATTTTAGGGTAGGGTTCTGAAAGCATTAGGGATATAGTCGGCCAAACAACCAAGCCAATCTCAATACAACCTTGTCCTTAGTTTTATTGACAACTGCATTTTGAGGTAGGGTTCTGAAAGCATTAGGGATACAGTCAGTTGAACGACCAAGCCAAGTAAAACAAGAGCATGATTATTATATAGATCAACTGCTGATATTTGGTTGAAACCTGATACTGTTAACCTTGCGTAAGATGTAAATAAGTTTGTTCTATGTGCCAAAGGGTTGAATTCCATTTATACTACGATTTTACCTAACATCTAGCTCACTTAATGTAATGTTTGCTGCAAATACAGTCTTGTGATAGCTTCTGCTTTAATTAACACTATCCTGGACAATTTGGTCTTTTCCTGATCCTGTGTTTTACAACAGTGAATTAGAATGGTGAACATTTATTTCCTAATTTGGTTTACTAGGTTAACGATTCCCATTCAAGATTGATGCCAGGTTTCACACCTTGAATTTCTTAGAGTATGTTTGGCAAGTGTTTATAAACGTGCTAAAATTCATACTATTTTTAATGGACATATTTATTGGGACGAAAGTACTACTCACTATCCCCCACTCATTTTTATCTCTTTATTTACACAACTATTTATAAAACTTGGGTAACATATGCTCGGGTGCTTATAAGGTCAACAAGAAAGGTATTACTCTTAAAGCAAGGTGGACTGCCAATGAAATTGAAAACTAAAACGGTTCAAAAATTTTCAGATATGTTTTCCTTTCAGTAGGGCCTTTGTTGGCACTGGCTACCACCTTTTACTTGGAAACCAAACTGCAGTACTATTTAAAGCGAAGTTTTTCGAATTGACACTTTTTCTGGTTAATCACTTCAATTTAAGTTTATCAGTGAACAAGTTAAGAATTACTTGCTGCATTTAACATAATAACTGAAGATTTTCAAATCAAAAAAGTAGTATTAATTCAATCCTTTCTCATTTATATTATATTCACCTTGGAATCTCTTTCATATCAGAAGATCAGAAGTTCACTCTCAAAGGCGGAAAAAACGTAGAATAATTGCCCAATCAATGTCTATTCCACCATCTTGCATGACAAAATAGAGTCGGAGCCATGAAAGAGTCGGAGACATGATTTATAGTATTTTACGTAATATCTTGGAAGATAACCAAGATTATGTAGTACAGTATATTGTTCACAGTAATTACCCAATTTAGGTTACTCTTCAAATTGTGGTAGAACATTGCGAGCCTTGCATGAAACTTGAGGTATAGATCCAAAAGGCATAATAATTGAACAATTTACAGTGAACCTGTATCTCCCGGATACCATAGTTCCAACCTGTTCTGTTGAGATTGATATTCTGTTTCTGACATTTAGCAATTAATTTTTGCTTTCTTCAATAAATTTTGGATGCACAAGTGCTGAGATTGAACTTCTAAATTTTTAACCCAGGGAATCGGATTAAGATTTGATTTCTAATTATTGCATGATTTCCTTTATTCCCTTGTGTGCTCAGCCAGAAAGCTCAATGTGCAAAGTGGGATGTCAACCAATGTTGTGATTGAGATTCTAAATCGCTAAGGATCTGACTGAATGTGAGAAAATTTGCTATTTAAGAATGCTTTTTAATCAATAATATGAGAGAGATGTGGACTAACTAGCACTTATTATGATTACGACTGCCATTACCAGGAGTCAAGACGAAGCCTCACGAGAATGGAAATTATTTTAGACAATTCTCAGTGAAATTTGTCGTAGTTGCTCAAACTTTTGACGGGCAGAATCATGAGAAAGGATAAGAAAAGGATAAAGCTACTTTGACTGATGATTTTAACAGAAAGCTTGACATAATTGCATGTGAAAGAAAGTGATTGGATAGAAAAGTTAACTGTATTTTAAACTGTTCAATAATAAAAATGTCAAACCTTATTTTCCTATAACATGAAAAAAAAAAAAAAAAAAAAAAAAAAAATCGTCCCTCCTCTTTCTTCGTTCACCGCCAAGCATTTTTAAATCAGTTCGCCGACCAAACACCAGTCAAAACATGAAGCAACTTTAACCAAATTCCTAGCCATCATCATTTACCAAGTTAGTCAACACATTTATTCATATAAAAAGTTTTTTGAAAGTGAAAAATATTGTATAAAGTTAAATCTCACTTTTTTATTAAAAAAGTGACTTACAATATTACTTTTACATTTACTGAATAACCATCAAGATCATTGATAGTCAATATTACTTTTACCTTTACTCATAATCATCTCAATATATGTCATCAAAATATTACACATCCTCAATAACATAAATAAAAAATATCTCAATATAATCCATAAAGTTTAGTCCAGTACTAAATAATTGATAATTAATATTTGAAAAATTACAAGTTTTCTGTGTTCTTCAAGAAAATAATAATTACAAATTCTGCAAATTATAATATCAACTTACAGGTTGAGAGGGAAGAGAGGAAAACTAAATTGATCTCAAAATGACGAAATTAATTAATCTATTTGACTAAAGAGAGGAAAAATACAGCAGCCCTTAATTTCAAGAGAAGAATACAGTGGCACTTAACTCAGATTACTTTATTTTGAATTATTATCATTTACGTAGTGATCAGTCCAAAATGAGCCAAACAAGAAAAATAATTGATAGGAATGAAACATAGATATGGAGAAATGAAAGAAATTGTGGAACTTAAATCCCTGTTTGGGTCCCATTTTTTTCAAAATTTTTAATTTTTGGAATAATATTTTTTTTAAAGAATGTGTAGTTGAAAAAGAATGAAAAATTTTCGATTTATGCATAATAATATTTTATGAAAGATTGCGTGGTTGAAATTAAGGGGAAAAAAATGAAAAAAAAAAGGGGCCAAACGGGGCTAAATCTTTTCTGGTATCTCTTTGATTTGGGACATAATTCAGAGAGAGAGAGGTAGAAGCGTTTTTGCCCAAGGCAATGGACAACTGGAAAGGATTTGGGGGCAGGAGTGGGTGCGTGGGTGGCATGGTTGGTTAAAGGGATTCAGGACTGTGGAAAGCAGCAATTATTTTGCTGGTATTTCAGTGTACTAGGAGGTTGATGCCTGCTGGATTCAGTACATATTTAGCTAAGCTCGAAACATTCTCTTAGAATCAAGTCAGTTTATTTTATAAAGTGATTTTCGTAACGCAGAAAGTAGCCATTATGTTTTCTGATTTTGTCCTTTTGACCGGTGGTTCAGTATAGTGGGAGCTGGGAGGTACTTTTCTGTTATTATTTTAATTTTCAACTTAATTATTCATTAATATGGTTAATTGACACACAATGAAAAATCAAGTTGCAATATCACCGAAAGCATGACAGACACTAATGAAGTCACTATGACACTCAATCTAGCAAAATATCAAGGGTAATTATATTACCACTATAAGTTTGTTAGATACACTACAATTTAAAGTATTTTTCTTCTTTACGTAAAAATTCTTAAGTAAAATTACATAAATAGGATTGCATATATTTTTCAAATAAAATAATCGATTTTCCCACCCCCAAACCTATTTTAAGTAGATACAAAATAAAAACCAAGACTTCTGCAAACAAAGAAATGATTAAAGAAAAGAAACCACATTTACAAAAGAGAAAAATTACTTGAAATTTGAAGTAGGCCTGGACACGGTTCGGTTCTCTTTAAAATTGAATCGAACCAAATATATATATATATATATATATATATATATATATATATATATATATATATAATATATATATATATATATATATATATATATATATATATATATATAGAGAGAGAGAGAGAGAGAGGTAAAATATTTTTAAGTATAACTAATACTTACCAACTATTTGATTTAATCATCAATTGCTTGATTTGCCATACGAAGAATCTCTACAGAAAAAATTGGAAAAGCACAATTAACAAATATAAATAAACTAAAAATGGAAGAATAAAAAGGGGTTTGATGTTGGGCACTTGGGCTAAAAATTAAAAAATTAGAAATGAAACAAATAATTTGACTAAAAAATTGGATTTAGAAATTGGTTGGGTTGAGTTAAGCTAGCTAGGCTACGGTTTGGGAGTTAAATATCAA